GGAGATAAAAGATTTCATAAACACGCTAATCACCCAAACACAAACCCAAATCTTATCCTTTGATTAATTTCAGATTGGAGAAGATTAATTTCAGATTGGAAAAAGATTGAATGAAACCAGTACCATAAATTGGAATTGTTGGATGAGTTACTTACTTGTAATATTTTCGGCGCTGCTCCTGATAAAACTGAAGCTAATCTCCCAAACACAAACCCAAATCTTATCCTTCGACTTCCAGCCTCCGAGGAGCGACAGGAGTCCTAGAACACAATTCGTTTTTGCATTTTTTTTTCTTGATTCGAAAAAGATAAAAATGGGTAAAGAAATTCAGTGACTAAAAGACAGCCAAACTGAACAAAATTGGGCCATAAACCCAAATTTTTATTTCTATTATGGGCTATCATTCTGCTTTGAATTAAAAATTCATAATTCGGCTTTGAATAATTTTTTTGTCTTTGTGAAGTTAGTAGTACCAACAAATCGATTGAACAATTGCAAAAATAATCTCACGAGCTATCGAGAGCGCAAGAACCCTAATTTTTTTAAAAAAAATTAACAAAATAAAGTTTCTGGTAGAGTACATAACTGAAAAAAAAAAAAAAAAAAAAAAAAAAAACAACCTTAAAAGTACAGAGACATTGGCCAAAATTTTCAACAAAATAGAAGATCAGAAGACAAGACAACAAAAAATATAAATAGGAACACCAAAACCCTAACCCTAAAATTTCATATGGAGCACAGGAACAACAAAACCATGATATAAATCTACCAAAAGTCGATCACGAACTTACCCCTCAAATTACGAACACAAAATATTCGCCTTCTCTCTCTCAACAATCTAGAGAACTCTCTGCGATCTATACAGATGCGCAACAGTCTCTATATACCACACCTCTAATTAGCCGTTCGAGAGGAAAAGCCTTTTGTCCTTTCGAATCAGACATTCAGACCACAGTTGACTTGCACCCTCCCATAAATTTTGGTATTCCACAATCGGCAGCCAACTCCACATCAATAGCTTGCACTGACTTTATTTTTCGCTGCGACGCTGCGACGGCATCATGTGGGCACAATCCTCACTGATGAGGGGATGGTTGTGTGTATCTTTAAAATCTTTGACAATGTACTTACCAAATTCCACATTAAAAGCAATAAGCATCCGTGCACGACAATCGGTGCGTGTTTCATCCCTTCGATTCTTTATTTTCCTATCCCTCTTGTCCTCACCTCTTTTTCCCTCCTTGCAACACAAAATTTCTAGATGTTAGTTTTCTATCTTTCCGACTGTTGTTTTTGTACTCTCTTCGAATACTAAAACCCACTCTGCCACCATATTCATTGTAAAAATCATAAGCCGCTTCTTTGGAATTAAACTGCATATCAACGCGGGGTATCCATTCTACTTCAGGAATATCGCAAACTGAATCACTATCTGTCTCTTCAATGTTAATAATTGCCTCTCCAATAGCCATAACTATAATAGCAGACCTACAAAAACATGACAAAAAAGTAAGTATATCTTAACAGCACAACATTTATATGACATATGTCAACAGTTTCACAAATACAACATCACATCTTTCACCTAACATATCCACATCAAATTTACTTCTACACTAATATCATGCATTGCCATTCATGCATCCATTTTCTAACATGTGCCATAACATATATATGCAACATACTACAATTGTACACTGCTGTAAAATACATAAATACAATATTACATCTTTCACCTAACATATCCACTGAAAATTTAATTATACACTTAGTATAATGCATTAACATTGAAACAATAACTTTCTAACATCTGCCGTATGTTGCCATAACAAATAAATCTAACACCATTCAAGTGTACACTAGCTATGCAAACAACTAGTTGCAAATATAATTTCACATTTACAGCACAACCTAATTATAACATATGTCATCAGTTTAATAATTACAGCACAACTTTTTTATAACATATACCACCAGTTTCATAAATAGAACATCACATCTTTAAGCTAACACATTCACATAAAATTTACTTCTACACTATTATGATGCTTTACCATTCATGCAACCATTTTCTAACATGTGCTATATGTTAACAGATCAAATTCATATAACAAACTTCAACTGTACATTACATGTGAAAACAAATGGTGTCAAACATAATTTCATTTTCTCACCCGAACTTTTATATAACATATGTCAACAGGTTCAGAAATACATTACCACATATTTGATCTAACCTATACATTAAAAATTTACTTTTACACTACTATAATGAATTACCATTAATGGAACTTTTTTCTAACATGTGGCATATGTTGCCATAACAAATACATCTAACATAATTTAAGCTTAAATTAGATATGCAAACAATTGGTGGCAAACATAATTTGACCTTTACATCACAACTTTTTTATAACATATGCCAACAATTTCTTAAATAGAACATTACATCTTTCAGCTAACACATTCACATAAAATTTACTCCTACACTAATATAATGCTTTATCATTCATGCAACCATTTTTTAACAAATGCTATATGTTAACAGATCAAATTCATATAACTTTCTTCAACTGTATATTAGATATCAAAAGATTTGGTGTCAAACATAATTTGACTTTCTTACCACAACTTCTATATAACAAATGTCAACAAGTTCATAAATACAGCATCACATATTTGACCTAACATATCCATTAAAAATTTACTTCTACACTACTATAATGAATTACCATTAATGCAACTTTTTCATAACATGTGGCATCTGTTGCCGTAACAAATACATCTAACATAGATATGCAAACAATTTCTGGCAAATATAATTTTACCTTCACAACATAACTTCTTTATAACATATGTCAACAGTTTTATAAATACAACATCACATCTTTCACCTAACATTTCCACATAAAATTACTTCTATAATACTACAATACTTAAACATTCATGCTACCATTTCCTAACATATGCTATATGTTAACAGATCAAATACATCTCAAATACGGCAATTGTACACTATATATGAACACAGTTGGTGGCAAACCTAACATATGCACATATAATTGACTTCTACACTAGTATAATGCATTACCATTAATGCAATCGTTTTATTACATGTGGCATATGTTGACCTTCACAACACAACTTTTTTATAACATATGTCAACACTTTCATAAATACAACATTACATGTTTCAATATTTGGGATATACAAATACTATTCTACAATTTTATTCAAACTGAAAAGTAATAAAGTTTAGGATTGGACAAGGCTAAAACAAATGAATATGGACATAACATTGGCACAAGAACAAGCTTCAAAATGGTATATGCATGTACAATCGTAAACTTCTATTATAACTGATCACTAATATAGTTCATTCACAAATAAAGTTATTTCATAAAGGCTAAAACAGATAAATATAGACATATAATAGGCAGAAGAACAAATATCAAAATCTGGTATATGCATATACAATATAAAAATTTCTTTGTTCAGTGATGACTAATTGAGTTCATTCAGAAAAAGAGAAAAAGGCTAAAAAAGGTAAATATGAACATTAAATACGCACAACAAGAAGCTTCACAATTCTCGGGTTGCCTGAAAATAAAAAACATTCATGCTCATCAGGACTAATAACCCAACCTTCAGATTTTTGGATTACCAATAATCACCACCGGATTTCATATATCATTATGAATAAAGTTACAAAAAATTCAAAATAACAACCTAATACTTATAATGATCAGAGCTTCTAGTCGGACTGGTTGATCGGAGCTTCAGCTGATCACTGGAATGGATGATCGCTGCTTCAGCATCTCGTCAGAAGGTAGATTAAGAAGTTCAGCTTGTAGCCGGAATGTATGGCGATTTTTCCCAACCGAGGTTCTGAACTGGGTCCTTTTTATGTTCAAAAATCTTTATGTGCCTAAATCCTTGACCTTCTCTTCATAAATCTTCATCTTTATGTGTTGGTTTAGAGGGCAGAGGTTTCAATTTTATGTGTTGGTTTACAGAGCAGAGGCTTCGCGTCTTCGTTTTCGGTTTATAGATCAGACCAGAGAAACAGCATATATTAGAGGCATATATCTGTATATATAAGTTTTGGCTCTAACCTTAATTTTGGTTTTGGGGGGAATTTTGAGTTCAAAATGAAATATAGATTATAAGCAAAACGTATTGTTGCAATAGAGTATAAGCAAAGCAAAACGTATAAGCAGGTATCCGGAAAGTTACAGTGCTTCTCCATTTTACCTGCCTTGCTACCTCAGCCGCGGGTCCCACAACTGGACCGGCTCCAGTGAGAAGTGACTGAAGACGATTTTTATCCATTAGTTTTAGGCGTTGAGCTCACGTTCCAAGAAGTTTCTGGCTCCCAAGACCCAGTTTCTTGAGGGCACAGTTAAAGAGAAAAAGACACCAGCTTTGGAGGCGTAGGAGTTGGAGAGAGAGAGAGAGAGAGAGAGAGAAGTGGATGTAGAACTCAAGGCAACATTTGCCTTAACCTATTTCTTATTTATTTATTTTCGTTTCAACAATGTTTTGAAATGATCTGACATCAATTAAAAAAAATAGACCCATTTGTTTAACTTTTTTTTTTTTTTTTTTGTTTTAACTTACGCGGACAGTTTTATATAAAGCTGGAAGCTAGCAAATGCTTAAAGAAAACGAATCCTCTCTAGGGAAATTCCTCTCTTAGTATCTCTAAGGATTTAATCCTATGGCTGTTATAGCGCCACATCACCATCTTATCATTCCCACATTAATTTACCAAAATTTAATAAAATATGATATCTTTTGGATTTCAAGATAACAATTACGGTTGATTTTTCATCCCGCTCATTTTACTTTTTGACGCTAAAATTTCCATATACTACTCCATAGATCCATAACTGACCTCTTCTTCTCTCTCCCTGTCTCTCTCTAGACTACTGTACAACAGAGACTCCATAGTAGAGATCCACGGGTGTTGCTATTTGACTCGGATCCTTGCCGCTTAAATGCGTGAGGTGAGGCAGAAGAGGCTGAAGGCGACGTGTGAGTTTGGTGAGGCGGAGACAGTTTGGTGGAGGGCGCTGTTTGTCTCTCTAGTTTTCGAGTTCTTTGGGGTTGTATGTATATATGCGTGTATGTACATTCTGTATACACACGTTTGCCTTTTTAATTAAAATTGCTGCTAATATTGTTTTGCTTATATAATAATTTAATAAATACATATAAGATGAATATTATATTTCTGTTACAAAATCTGTATATGAATGTTTGCCATTTTTAATCAAAATTGGTGCTAATAGTGATTTGCTATAATATATAATAATTTAATAAGTAGAAGACAAATATTATATTTTTGTTAAAAAATAAATAAATATTACTCCATACAAATTCTAAAGTTGAATCAAACAGAATTAGAATTCTAATATAATTAAAAAATAATAAATTGAACTAGAATTGTAATTTAATTCCATAACCCAAAGTCTGTTTTTTTTTTTTTTCATTAATAGATAAAAGTTGCCTATTGATAAAAAAAAAAAAAAAAAAAAAAAAAAAAAAAAATAAGAGAAAAAAACAAGAAAAGGGTATATTTTACTCGTTATTATAACGTGAAAATTAATTTATTTATTTTTGTTAATGTTCTTTTTTTTCTGTTAATATTTTTTCTATATCAAACATTTATTTTGATGTTGATGATACTATTAAGTTAGTTGTTGTGTTTTAAAATATTTTCCTAATACGTGATTAATTGTATGGGACGGATACCAAAAGATACCATATTTAATTAAGTTTTGGTAAATTAATGTGGGAATGGTAAGATGGTGATGTTGCACTGTAATAGCCATATGATTAAATCCTTCGAGATACTAGGAGAGGAATTTTCTTGGAGAGGATTCGTTCCGTGGGTAAAACTGGTAGATAGTAATAGGACATTTGACTTGACAACTCAGCTTTAATAAAGTTGTTACTAGAAATTTTTAATAAACTGGTAGGTACTCTCACATTGCCATCCAAAGAATAATTGCCTCAAAAAAAAATTATTTGCTCCTAGCATAAATAATCTTCTTGACCAATGAGAGGGTAGCAGTTGCCATTTTCACTAGAGGGATTATCCACCAAGTGATATAAGCTTTGGTGATAATTGTGCTGCTCTCATCTAACTTATTAATATGGTGTTGTGAAAAGTATCTCTGGCTTGGGTTGCCATCTAACTTTTTCATGTAATGTCATGTTGAACAACGAAAATCTTAAATATTTTTAATACTAAATTGATAACATGCGTTTGCACGTGTGTGGTTGTGTGTGTACATGTTATATATATGTTGATAGTTTTGATATAGACGAAGAAAAATTTAATCCATTCAAATATATGGATTAAAATTCACTCAACCATAATACATGTAGTCATAAAATTTATGATTTTTTCAAAGTACATACATGTAACAAGAAATTGGTACTGTGATAGCTGTCTTCAAACTTTGTGACTTTTTATTGCTTTCACAGTACATATATAACAAGAAATTGGTACTGTGTTCTGCATCATCAATGAAAGACATTGGTACCGTGTTCTTCATCACCAATGAAAATATGTAAAGCCTTTCAAACTAGTACTTTTTGTAATCAACTCTATAGCTTCTTCAATAATCGCTGGTTCGTGGTACTGTGTTTTGCAACATGTGATAGCAACGAAAGACATTGGTACTGTATTCTGCATCACCAATTTATTTTAAAGGCATTTGGTGTCTCCTAAGATAACTTTTCCTCTACTCTTTAATGCTTTCAAATAGTGGTGACCTCAAATAACTACAGTCCATCAAAAATCAACCTGCATACATTTTCTTCCACTAAAATTTCCGACCAAGAGATCACCAGATTCACCGGTCTATATATATATATAAATGGGATAAATATATAAAACACTCGGATGTTTCTTTTTATGCAAATAATACCTTTCGGTTTTACTTTTGGTAAAATTTAAGAATATTAAATTTACAAACTAGGACTGTTAAGAAGTCAATCGTTAAAAAAGTACGGATAGCAAGAGTTGAAAATTTTCTATGTTAGGATTCGACAGTAACAAGAGTTGTTGAACAAGTTATAATGCTGGCTTTGAAATGGACACAATTTTTTCAGGCCTTGCATGTTCATATCCATGTGTGTTCTTAGTGTGTGTGAATGACATCTTGTCCTTAAAGGATGGATTTGGGGCGAGTCACCAACCCAAAATAAATTTGAAATATTAAATCTCTAACGAAGAAAAGCACATAACTGTTGTGGATGTGGGCTCCACACCTTGCATCAATGCTTACGTCATCTCTTGGAGTAGTGAGCAAGTTTATTGCATGGGCTTATACTAGAAGCTAACCCACGAATTGAATGCCTATAAATAGGCATCATGTGTATGAAGTGAAGGGGCAATAAGAAATGATCTCTCTTTCTCTCTCGTTCTGTCTCTCTATCTCTCTCTCTCTCCTTGCACAAGTTAATTTACATTTCTATATTACAAATTACTCAATAAATAGACATATATATTTATCACACGTTATCAGTACGAGACTCTATCAACTGAGAAGAAAATTCTATTTTTCTTTCTCACTTCAAAGGGTAAGAAAAATAATTATTTATATTAAACTGTTATTATTTAAGTCTCACATATAATTAACACTGTTGAGCTTGCAGTCTCGCAATTATTTATTTATTTATTTATGTTAGAGTATTTTTGTCTATTCTTTATAGAAAATTAAATTGCTGAGCCCGAAGTCTCGCAAATACTAAATTATTTAATTTGCAAACTCGAAATTTTGCATATATTAATCTACTGTTTGTGAGCCTGAAGTTTCACAAATAGTCTTTGCGAACCCGAAGTTCCGCAAAATTTGTGAGCCTGAAGTTTCACAAATATTTGGTACTCTTTACAAACCCGAAGTTTCGCAAAATTTATTGGCCTGAAGCCCAAATGAATTTGAAATTCTTTGACTTGAAGTCATTTACACGGAGTATCCTTACAAACCTGAAGTTCTGTAAAACGTAGAAATATAAATTGTATGTGCCTTTTAGTGTAAACATATTTTGTCTTTTTGTTATTATTTTGTTTACTAAAAGTACATGACTAACTTTTGACATTATATATTTACTGACAAATCACATTATAGTGACTGTAGTATTTTTATAAACTCAAATTGATTATTCTTTTTGTGAAATAATCCTAACTATGTTATTTTATCATTTATAGTTCACAATGTCAAATCTTACCAAGCTTGAATTTGTGGTACTTGACATCTCGGGCAAAAACTACTTGTCATGATCTTTATTTGCCATCATCTCCATGAAGAACTAAAAACAGAGTACCTCACGGTTAAGGATCCACTTACACTGTGGAAAAATCTGAAAGAATGATATGAGCATCAGAAAACTGTGATCCTTCCGAAAGCTCGCTATGACTGGATCCACCTGCGCTTGCAGGATTTTAAAAGTGTAAGTGAGTACAATTCAGCCTTATTTAAAATCAGCTCACAATTGAAATTATGTGGAGAAAAAATTACTGATGATGATATGTTGGAAAAAACATACTTCATATTTCATGCCTCAAATGTGCTCCTGCTGCAGCAATATAGAGAGCGCAGATTTATCAAATATTTTGAGCTGATTTCTTGTTTGTTGGTGGTTGAACAGAATAATGAGCTTTTGATGCAAAACCACCAGTTCCGTCCCACTGGATCTGTACCATTCCCAGAAGCGAATGTGTCATCATTTCACGGTCATGGACGTAGACGTGGATGCGGACATCGTGGTGGTAGCAATAAAAATAATTATAATAATCGTGGTGGTCATAATTCCTCATTGGTTCCCAGAAGGAACTCCACACCGTCCCACCAGGAGTGGAATTCAAATGTGACCAAGCAGGCAAAAGAAAAAGCTTTGCAGAACAAAGCTCTTGAGATATATGATGACAAGCCTTGCTATAGATGTGGAATGAAAGGTCATTGGTCGCGTACCTGTCGTACGCCCAAATATCTAGTTGATCTTTACCGTGCCTCAATGAATGATAAGGGAAAAGGAAAAGAAATTGAAATGAATTTTATGAATGACGACTTAACAATTGATATTACTCACTTTGATGTTTCTGACTTCTTTACTGATACTAGTGGTAGTGGTGATCATTTGATTGGTGATGGAAATGTCCATACTAATTAATGTGTCATTTTCTAGCATGTTATCCCTTGTGTGTTTTAGTTTATCTGTATCAATATGTCTCTATCTAGGTTATACTAGTATGTTTTTATTTTGGCTATCTTGCATGTAAATCTAGTTTGTATTTCAAGTTTGAAGTAATGAAATATATATTTTGTGTGTATGAAGAAACATGGACCTGACTAAGGCATTGACTGTGCTCAAGACAATGGTGAAGATATATGTCTGCCAGACAGTGCAACAACACACACTATACTCCAAGAGATGATGTAAGCAATGATGCAAGGTGTGGAGCCCACATCCATAACACTAGTTGAAACTCCGACCCGAGATAGAAAATATTTTTTAAGTATAACATTAGTTGAAGCTCGTGTCAATACAATATCAGGTCCAACAGACCTAATTGAAGGCTCCGGAAGAGCTATCATTGTGTTACCAAGTGGAACACAAATGAATATTAATGATGCTCTATACTCTACAAAATCCAAAAGAAATTTATTAAGCTTTAAAGATATACGTCTTAACGGTTATCATATTGAGACTATAAATGAAGGGGGCATTGACTATCTCTGTATTACATGCCAGAAACATGTATTAGAAAAACTCCCTGCTTTATCTTCTGAGTTATATTATACAAATATAAGAGTAATTGAGTCATATGCAGTGACGCACCAGAAGTGCTCCGACCCAAATATTTTTATACTTTGGCATAATCGCCTTGGTCATCCTGGGTCAACAATAATGCACCGAATCATTGAAAATTCCCATGGTCATTCACTAAAGAACCAGAAGATTCTTTTAGCAAATGATTATCCTTGTACTGCTTGTTCACAGGGTAAATTAATAGTCAGACCATCACCTTCCAAGATAGTTGTTGAATGCCCACCATTTTTACAACGAATTTAAGGGGATATATGTGGACCAATTCATCCAGCGTGTGGACCATTTCGGTATTTTATGGTCTTAATTGATGCATCAACACGGTGGTCACACGTAAGTTTACTTTCTACTCGTAATGTTGCATTTGCTCGACTCTTTCCTCAAATAATCCGATTACGAGCACAATTTCTGGATTATCCAATCAAGACTATTCGTCTTGATAATGCCGGAGAATTCACATCTCCAATGATTGTCCGATCACTCGATGTGAAGAAAGATCCTTTTCGTCCTTTGGAAGAAGGTGAAGAAGTTCTTGGTCCTGAAGTACCATATCTTAGTGCAATCGGTGCTTTAATGTACCTTGCAAATTGTACCAGACCTGATATAGCATTTGCAGTCAACTTACTAGCACGGTATAGTTCTGCACTAACTCGAAGACATTGGAATGGGGTCAAATACATTATGCGTTACCTTCGGGGAACGACTGATATGGGATTGTTTTATTCAAGACAATCAAAGCCCCAGTTGATCGGATATGCAGATGCAGGTTATCTTTCTAACCCTCACACAGCTCGATCACAAACAGGGTACTTGTTTACTTGTGGTGGTACTGCTATATCATGGCGATCTATGAAACAGACCATGACTGCAACTTCTTCAAATCACTCTGAGATACTCGCAATTCATGAAGCAGGTAGAGAGTGTGTTTGGTTGAGATCTGTTATACAACATATTCGAGAATCATGTGGACTCTCCCCAATCAAAGATAGTCCAACAATATTATATGAAGATAATACAGCATGTATTGCACAGGTAAGAGGAGGATACATAAAAAGTGACAGAACCAAGCACATTTCACCAAAATTCTTTTCCACACACAAGCTTCAGAAGAGCTGTGATATCGATGTTCAGCAGATACGCTCTAGTAATAATCTAGCAGATTTATTCACTAAAGCGCTTCCAACTACAACATTCAAGAAGTTAGTGGACAACATTGGAATGCGTTAACTAAAGGATCTTCAGGGTTGAACTAATGAGGGGGAGCAATTGATCGAAGAGGTATTGACATACTGTACTCTTTTTCCTTCGTCCAGGTTTTATCCCAATGGATTTTCCTGGCAAGGTTTTAATGAGCCAGTTTTAACCTATGCAATACCATTTTCAATGACACAAGGATATTGTACTCTTTTTCTTTCGTTGGGTTTTTATCCCACTGGGTTTTTCCTAGCAAGGTTTTAACGAGGCATATTCTTAGTGTAGTATAGTGGATCTCAAGGGGGAGTGTGTTGTGGATGTGGGCTCCACACCTTGCATCATTGCTTACATCATCTTTTGGAGTAGTGAGCAAGTTTATTGCATTGGCTTATACTGGAAGTTAACCCACGAATTGAATGCCTATAAATAGGCATCATGTGTATGAACTGAAGGTGCAATAAGAAATGATCTCTCTCTCTCTCGTTTTGTCTCTCTATTTCTCTCTCTCCTTGCACAAGTTAATTTACATTTCTATATTACAAATTACTCAATAAATAGACATATATATTTATCACAATAACAATTAATTATTTATATTAGCAGTCTCATATTAATTGTCTGTCCATTTCTCTTTCTTATTTAAATTTGGCAAATTAGTGATTAATTTGAAAAGTAGTATGTAAATATGAGACTGCTAATATAAATTTTTAAAAGGAAACATGCTCTCCAAATAAAGAACGAAGAAGAAAATTATATGATAGAGAACTATTATTATAAGGAGGTATTTATCTTATATCGAATTTGAATGAAAATTGTAGAATATATAATATTATCTAATAATTTAAATTTTTAAGTAAATGAACAAATGAGGGAGAATATTATTAGAGACATTTTATTAGTTAAAACTCCTAATTTTACCAATGTTATTTATTTTTTTTATCTTTTAATTTTTTTATTTTTTTGTGCATGAAGTCTGTGGACACTGTTTAATTAAATTAGAAATGGTTAATAATCAAAATATAGTATATATATCATTAATGTGCAGTACTCCGAATAAGTACAGATTGTAAGAGGTTTGAGTTAACTTTTTCTCTCTCTTCTGTGTAAAAGAGAAATGGAAGTGTGCTTTTTCTCTCCCTTCTGTCAAAAAATCTCAGTCTTTTCTGTAGATCTTTTTCTATCTCTACAGTACTACATCACCTCTTCCACCTTTACCATCACCTCTCCTACATCACCTCTTCCATCTCTTTTTTCTCTCATCTTCTCTGGGCATCCCGTGAAGACCTATGAAGCACGGACACGGACACAAGACACGAGTACAATACGACACGAATACGGCGATACGTCAAATCTAAAAAAAAAAGACACAGACACAGTAGGGATATGGTAATAAAATAATAAAATAATTTTATTATATATAAAAAAGTAAATTTTTTTTCAAATTTTTTAATTCATAATTCATATTATTTAAGTTCACTATAAATTTATATATATATATATATATATATATATATATATATATATATATATATATATAAGAATTTACAGTCTCAAATTTATTAAATTACAGAAAAATTGAGATAATAACTTTATATCCAACCTTCTAACCAAACAAGTGCTAAGAAAAAGATGAGATATATCTTTTCTCTCCTCCTCATCTACGTGTCTCTATCTCTCTGGACCTTCTTATCATCTTATCTCTAGTCCTCCTTTCCTCTCACTAAACTAATCAACAGAGCAAAGCATGAATCACTACCCACTCTAGACAACGCCGTCTTTGGAGGCAGAGAACAAGTTGCGAGGGAAGGACGGGGTGAAGAAGGAGAGGGGCGATGACGGCGGATGAGTGGTGTGAGGTTGCCCATTTAGAGGAGGTTGAGAAATCTTAAGTCTTTATGGTGTCGTCGGCGCCACCAGATACAGCGACAGAGCAGAAGGCGTTAACCGATTTATGGAGAAAAGGTGGGAGGGGAAGGAGAAGAGTAGGGTTGGGATTGTTTAAGTTCCCGTGTCCTCCGGCGTATAGCTGCCGTGTCTTTCCCGTGTCCTCCGGCGTATCGCTGTCGTGTCTTTCTGTATCCGGTATTTATTTATTTATTAAAAAAATAGGGTACATTTTTTAGGTGTCGGACACGTGTCCAAGCTCTAGACACGCGTGTCCGATACTAGTACGCAGACTCTAAATGCCGTGTCGGTGCTTCCCAGGTGAAGACGGAGAAAAATCCTCTCCATTCACATCTCACTGGAAAGTGTTCAGTGGTGGGCCATTTAGCTGATGTGGCAAAGTTGGTAAAATGGGTAGGTACTGTAGTTTTTCTTATACCATTTATATACATACTTGTTTATAATACTCCGTATATTCTATCCTTTATGTACATAATACATCATTTCAGTTTCAATTTGAAATTCCCCCTAAAATGAAAATTGAGTTTGCCCCCAAAACTGCCATATATATACTGATTTTGAAATATCCCTCTCTCTCTAACATCCAAACTGAACTCCTTCATCAAGTGCAACCGAGAAACAAGGCAACCATGACATAAAGATAAAGATTTTGGAGAAGAAGAAGCTGAATAAGGACGTTTTCTAGAAAGTAAAGGATCTCCCTGTTCAAAGAAGCTCCAAGAAGGGGAATTTGACGTTTTCTGGAAGGCAAATGATCTCCATGTTCCAAGATGGAGAGATTCCCCCAAAAAAATTTCAGTCCAGCAAAAAGCTGAAACTCTGATCATCCAATCCGGCGTAATTTATACATCTTCTTTATGCACGTATTATTGCATCTTTCCAAAAATGTATTTGAGTTTCAATTTTCAATTTCTCCTCAAAAGGAAAGTTGACCTTCCCTCAAAACTCTACTATATATATACCATGCCTGAAATATCAAATAGGAAATTCCTCTCTGAAATTTGAGATTCGATAAAGAAACTCTCCCTAAACTCTGCTATTTATGTTTATGTGTAAAAAACTCTCTTGGTGTAGGTCGAAGAGGCATAGCAAACAAAAGGAGATCTAGTCGGGAAAATCACCATGTATTCCGGCAATAAGCTAAAATTTCTGAAAAGGAGAGATTCCCCCAAAATATTTTTGATAGTCCGGCAAAAAGCTGAAGCTCCGATCATTATAAGTATTAGGTTGTTATTTTGAATTTC